GACTGGCAGGTGGCATGGTGGTTAAGGGTGCTGGACCTCCCACATGGCCAACTGTGGTTTGAGTCCCAGACCTGGCAGCTTACTTTCTCACTCTCTCAATCTCTCTCCCTCTCTGGTCAAATTAAAATAAATAAAGTTAAATAAAATAATTCTTAAAAAAAGAATTATTTATTTTATTTGTTTATTTTTTTAATTTGATGAAAAGTAAGAGGAAAAGAGAGAAAGCAAGCCTCCAAGTCTGGGACTTGAACTGTGGGAGTCCATTGCCCTTGACCACCACACCACCTGCTGGCCCCATCTCCCAGATGCTGATTTTTTAACAGGGTCTCACCATGTCAGCATCCTCCTGCCCCAGCCTCTCAACTAGCGAGGACTGCAGGCAAGCACCACCAGGTCCAGCCTGGTTTGTTTACATTTTTGTTTTATTTGTTAAAAGATTTATTTCTTTTTATTTGTTATTATTATTATTATTTAATTTGACCAGAGAAAGAAAAAGTGAGAAAGCAAGCCACCAGATCCAGGACTTGACCCATGGTCAGATGTGTGGGAGTCCAGCACCCATGATCAAACCTGTGGGAGACCATGCCACCTGCCAGCCCCTCTTTTTTTATAAGAGAGATTTTTGCTATAGGGTACATTGGCTTGCCAGAGAGAGAGACAGAGAGACAAAAACCAAGAAGTCACCCCACCACCACCACCACCATGGGTGACGGCCATGCCACAATCCCTTCTCCTCCATTCTCTCCTCAGGAGTTTGGGCACACATGCCTGGTGTGAGTTTCAAGCCACCAGATCTAAGACTCAAACCATGGTCAACCACATGGGAGTCCAGCCATGTAACCATCACACTACCTGCTGGTTCCTGTAGTTTGTTTTCTTAGGTTGGACTAGAAACAAACCCAGGCCTCCCATGTGGCCCCAGCCTCTGAGCACAAACACCTTGGCAGTGTGAGCCCCCACACGGGCTGAGCCAATTTTTTGTAACATTATGAGTGAGTGCTGGATCTTACCAATTTTTCGGCACCTACTGAGGTAATCCTCCATATCTTCTGGGACATTACATGCTAAGCTCGATGAATTGTATTATTCTAATGCCAGTCCAGTCTTGTATTCCTGTTATTAGCCCAGTGTAGTCATGGGGTGTCATCTTTTTAGAAATCGCTGGATGCATTTGCTAATATTTTGCTTAGGATTTCAGCATCTGTGTTCCTAGATGAGGTTGGCATGACATTTTCTTTTCTCCTAGTGTTCTTACATTTTGGTATGAAGATTATGTTAGATTTGTAGTACCTGTCCAGGCCTACACACCTGTTGTTCCCTCTGACCGAAACATAGTTTCCCTCTAACTCCACATGGTTTGTGGCCCCCACTTCATTCAGATCTAAGCTTAAATGTCACTTCAAAGAGGCCTCCTTGGCCTGCCTATTTAAAATTGTAGGGCTGGCCCCATGGCCAAGTGGTTAAGGGAATCCAATCCCACATGGCCAGCTGCCTGGAGTGAGTCCTAGCTCACCAGGCATGTGTGCATGCATACCCAAAATCTTGTTTGTTTGTTGACAAAGGATTTCTTTGCTGTGTGAGTAAACACATTTTGACTCAATGCAGAGCTTTCCGAGACATTTTTTGCCAAATCATTCTGTTTAGATGGATTTTCTTGAGTAGGAGATGTCACTGACATGATAGTGGGATCTGGTGCATGGGTATGATTTCTTGCAGTTTATGTGAAATTTCCCTACCTGGATTTTGGCCTTGGGAAAATCCTCTTGCTTCCACCATCTACACCATTTCACCTTTTTCCAAACAGAAAATCGAATCTGATTTGCAGAGCTGATACCCAGCGGATAACAGATGACATAATTTCCAGCGTCACATCTTCATACAACTTTCTCCCAGATGCGCCCAGTAGAGCCCACCCTTCCTGAGTGAAGCTTATAATGACATCTTCAAAGGTCACTGATTATGGGAACCAGCAGTTAGTGTAATGGCTATGTCGCTGGACTCCCACTTAGTCAACCGCGGTTCGTGTCCTGGACCAGGTAGCTTAAATCTCACGCCGGGTGCGTGTGTGTGCGTGCCCAAGATCCCGGGAGGAGAATGGAGGAGAAGGGATTGCAGTGTGACCATCCCCCCTGGGGGGTGATTTCTCACTTTCTGTCTCTCTCTCTGTCTGGCTGGCAAGCACACGCACCCTATAGCAAAAATCTCTAAAAAAAATAAAAATAAAAGGTCACTGATTCCCACACAGCCAAGGTCCACAGGCAGCGAGACTGCTTCGCATACCCAAAATCTTGACAGGAGGAAGAAACTGAGGAGAGGAGATTGTGATGTGATCACACCTCACATCACAATGTGATGGGGAAGGAGATGTTTTTCCCTCCGGACTGTCTCTGGTGAGCACACTTGCCCTTTGGCAAAATTTTTTTAAAAATTGGGGCCAGGAGGTGGTGTAGTGGCCTCCCACAAAGCCAACCACAGTTTGAGTCCTGGACCTGGTGGCTTGCTTTGTCACTCTCCCTCCCTCTCTTTCTCTCTGGTCAAATTAAAAAATAATAGTAAAGTTGAAAAGATAATTCTTTTTTAAAAAAATGCCTATCTCTTACAAAATTGTTTTAGGAGTTGGCAGGTGGTGGGGTGATTAAAGGCGCTGGACTCCCACATGGCCAACTATTGTTCAAGTCCCAGACCGGGTGGTTTGCTCTCTCTCACTCTGATCAAATTGGAAAATAATAATAAATAAAGTTAAATAAAAATAATTATTTATGAGACCAGCAGATGGTATAATGGTTACACTGCTGAACTTCCACATAGTCAACTGCAGTTCAAGCCCTGGACCTGGCAGCGTAAAATTCATGCCAGGTACGTGCATGTCCAAGATCCCAAGAAGAGAACAGAGGAGAAGGGATTGCAGCATGGCCATCCTCGCTGGGGGGATAATTTTTCACTTTATGTCTCAATCTCTTTCTGTCTCTCTGGCGAGTGTACAGGCCCTATAGTAAAAATCTCCAAAAAAAAACCAAAAAATTCATTTAAAAATTTTAAAGAATTGTGGGAACCAGCAGTTAGCGTAATGGTTATGTCGCTGGACTCCCACGTAGTCAACCGCGGTTCATGTCCCGGACCCGGTGGCTTAAAACTCACGCCGGGCGCATGTGCGTGCGTGCCCAAGATCCCGAGAGGAGAATGGAGGAGAAGGGATTGCGGCGTGACCATCCCCCCTGGGGGG